TTGTTGCTGTTCCACCCTCGTGTCCACCAGGTCAGTTTTAATTGAAAATATAAAATTATGTTTTGTTTTCATCACATATATGACTATTATTTACATTTTATTTTACAGCTTGATCATAGTCATTTGCAGGAGCAAGTGACTTCAGAGTATCATTTTTCTACTGGCATTTTGAGATGTAACTGCGTCGTTATGTACCCATAGTCGACTCAAATATTTTGTTCTTATACATAGAATCTGTTTTATATATCTATCTGTCTATTTATCTATGTATCTATCTATCTATATCTATCTATCTCTCTCTATCTATCTACATTTATCTATATATATATTATATATATATATATATATATATATATATATATATATATATATATATATATATATATATATATATATATATATATATATATATATATATATATATATATGCAATAAGATCACAGTAAACAGGTGATTTCAATATAAATTAAATAGCTTAGCCATTCTATAAACTTCACTGTTGAGTTTGAAGAAAATAACTCATTGCCTTTACTAGATGTTTTAATTATTAAGGGAAATAATGAATTCAAATTTAAAATTTACAGAAAACCTACAAATAACTGTTCCTATGTCCACTATTATTCTTCACAACAAGACAGAGTTAAACTGTCTGTTTTCTCATCACTGTTTTTGAGAGCTTTACGTACTTGTAGTCCAGAGTTCATAGATGAGGAAATATCCAAAATTTATGAAATAGGTAATGATTTGAAATACCCAAGAAACAAAATTGATAATTCTTTTAAAGCTGCTAGAAATACTTTTTACAATCCAAAAAGGGACAACCAGCCTTATTCAACTAAAAATATGTTGGTTCTCCCTTACCATGAAAACTTGGTTGATATGCCTTCTCTTCTTAAGACTTTTAATATTAAAGTTGTATTTAAAAATCTTGATACAGTAAAAAGAACTTTTGATAAAGAATTCCCCCAAAATGCTGATGGATGTGTCTATAAGATTCCTTGTAAAATTTGCGATAAAGTTTATTATGGTCAAACTGGTAAAAGTCTCGAACTAAGATTAAAACAACATAAATATAGCATTAGAACTCGACAAGATTCCAATGCTCTATTTATTCATGTGAGAGATTTTAACCATCCAATTGATTTTCAAAAAGTTGAGAAAGTTGTATCAAGCAAGTCCATGGTTGACAGAAATATAATTGAAGTTTGTTTCATAAAAAACAGTTTTGAAAATAATATGACTATTTCCTTAGGTTTATATAAATTAGATTCATTTATAATTAATAAAATTTGGTTAGAGTTTAATAATACATTGGATAAATAATAAACCTTATTTCTTGAGTAGAATAATTTGTTAGTGGGATGTCGTGAGGACCTGTCTAGTTGGACCAGCGGACCTACTGCAATGTTCCTCTTTTCTTATGAGTCCGGTATTGTCGCGCATCAGGTGTTTCTTTGTTGTGGGAGTTGACTGTGAGGTGTGGTCTAAGCCCTTTAATTGCCTTCCTTTGATGTATTACTTTCATAGTTCCTTGACAATGTGATTACTCACGAAAGCGCTTGGAATTTCACTACTCTTTCAGTGGTTGTTTTGCGCAATATATATAAATATATATATATATATATATATATATATATATAATATATATATATATATATATATATATATATATATATATATATATTATTAACACACTGGACGATTCCCACCAAGGCAGGGTGGCCCGAAAAAGAAAACACTTTCACCATCATTCATTCCATCACTGTCTTGCCAGAAGGGTGATTTACACTACAGTTTTTAAACTTCAACATTAACACCCCTCCTTCAGAGTGCAGGCACTGTACTTCCCATCTCCAGGACTCAAGTCCGGCCTGCCGGTTTCCCTGAATCCCTTCATAAATGTTACTTTGCTCACACTCCAACAGCATGTAAAGTATTAAAAACCATTTGTCTCCATTCACTCCTATCAAACAAGCTCACTCATGCCCACTGGAAGTTCAAGCCCCTCGCACACAAAACCTTCTTTACCCCCTCCCTCCAACCTTTCCTAGGCCGACCCCTACCCCGCTTTCCTTCCACTACAGACTGATACACTCTTGAAGCCATTCTGTTTCGCTCCATTCTTTCTACATGTCTGAACCACCTCAGCAACCCTTCCTCAGCCCTCTGGACAACAGTTTTGGCAATCCCGCACCTCCTCCTAACTTCCAAACTACGAATTCTCTGCATTATATTCACACGACACATTGCCCTCAGACATGACATCTCCACTGTCTCCAGCCTTCTCCTCGCTGCAACATTCATCACCCATGCTTCACACCCATACAGGAGCGTTGGTAAAACTATACTCTCATACATTCCCCTCTTTGCTTCCAAGGACAGATAATAGGATTGACAATCTACAGAAAAAAGATTTCGAATCTAGGGCAATTGATAGGAAAAAAACTAGCTAGTAAGGTGTGAATGCATCCCCGATTATACCATGAATGTTAATAGCAAAATTGTCTCTGAATGCCAGCAGACTATATATTACATGCCTCGGTGCGAGACGGCACCGAAGCAAGTATAATACATATATATATATATATATATATATATATATATATATATATATATATATATTATATATTAATTTGCTTCGGTGCCGTCTCGCACCGAGGCATGTAATATATAGTCTGCTGGCATTCAGAGACTATTTTGCTATTAACATTCATGGTATAATCGGAGATGCATTCCCTACCATAACTCTCCGTATTTATTTTCACATTCAGTGTATTTTGAATAATGAAACATAAAATAATTTACAACAGTTAGATGAATCCCTCTTTTTTTTCTCTTTCCTTGCTATTTCTCTGACTCCCTCCCTTTCCCTTTCTTCAATTTCCTAATCTCTATCAACCCACTTACTTCCATCCTCTCATTCTATCTGACACAGAACTCCTTCGATAAGCTTTCCCTAACATATACCTTATGGTGTATAATCAGTCACAAAAACTGCGTACTTAGGTTTTGGTTGTGGTGTGATTTAGTCAGCTACTGATCATGTACATTTACTACTAATCTCTCACATGTGAGACGAACGTAATTATTAAATCAGCAGTTCTTATCCTAACTCTACTAAAAATAAGGTGAGCCTATTACATATGAATAAAATGAATATGACCAAATTATTATCCCATATGGTAAAAGTAATGATTTTTTTAATATAATTCATGTTTTACAAATTCGAAATTATTAAATTTAGACTTTCTAACCAGTCTTTACCAAACAAACAAAAGCCTCCAGACACACAAAATGAACATACAAAACATATCAGTGCATTTGGTGGAAACAGACATTAAACAAAAATTAAAAAGTATTCAACTCTGGCAAACGTATAATTACTGCATTAAATGGACCATTTTTGACCAATCTCTTCGAAATAAATATGAGACCAGTACACACGCATAAAATGTATACACACATTCATTCCGTCCTGACAAGACTGAGCAATATGTAGTCTCGACAATTTATATATCAGTAATTAGTTTTGCTTTACATAATACCTGAAAGACAGCCCAGTCGTTAAGCACTTCAAAAATCTTTGATACTATAGAACTCACTATAGAACCTACTAGGAAATCGAGCAACACAATGTATTCTGAATTTATATTGGTAATCCTTTACCACAAAAATACATGTAAGAACATGAAAATTTATATCCATATACACTAAACAGCACTTCATTTATCTAACAAAGTAAACATGGTAACTGTGCAACTAGAACTTTCAAAAAGTAACCAGTGTAAGAGCTTTATATGATTTCTTTCAAAGAATGTTAACATTTATACACAGGAGAAACTGGAAGATATTTACACAATTAAGAATTGATAAAGTCCCTGGAGGACGAAGCATCTCAAAAAACACCATAAACCTCACATTATTTCTGTCACTGACATGCAATAAAGTTACTTGAAACGAGAAATGTTTTAGTCACAATCAACATTGTTGTGAGGTTTTTCAGCATATTAAGAAAAATAACCACAATTTAAAACTAGGATCATACTCCAGTGTTTATTGAATACTTTTTATAAACGTACTAAATCCTAGGGTCAGCTGTGACTACATCATGAGTTTATTTCAGTATCTCGCAAGGCCATTTAAAACATGATGCAGTTTCCACTAAACTGGTGATGTCATGTGTCCCTCATCCACTCTTTAGGTCATACAACCTGACTCTGTATTCCTGAATATAGCTTCACTTCTTATATATTTTAGTTTGCTGAAGTGGATCTCAATTGGAAATGCTAACATTTGTATTTTGGAATAGAAAATTGTATGTATTTTATATTTCAACAGTGTCCAATGTGTGTGCAGTGAGTGATGGAGGATGTCCCAACACACATCTGTGTCTTCCAAACGGTCGACGTGGTCGCACATGCGCCTGCACTGACATTGCCGCTCAGAACGAAGAGACCCCCTGTACTGATTACAATTACTGAGTGACTGTCAAAAAAAAAATGAGTAATGTGATTAAATATTACTGAATAAAGTAAAAATGCTTACATAACCTTACCTATTGACAATTACTGAGCGCCGTCAATACCTATTGACAGTTACTGAGCGCTGACAGCTCCACCATGTCCTAAGCTGATAAAAGCAATAGAATGACTAGCTGGTAGTATAGATACAAAATAACCTTTGTTTATGGAATCAGAAACTTTATGTAACTAGAGCTAGTTACAACTGCACAGTCAGCTTAAGACCAAAATAACTTCATTTAATTTTAGGCAACTAAATATGACTATAAATGCAGAAATGTAAGCTTGATATGAGTATTACAGAACTTAAATTATCTGCATCTGTTTGGCAGGTGGGCGACTGTAACTGTTCACCAAATTAAGTTATTTAAATAATGACTAATATATTTAAATTCAATATTAAAAATACAGTAGCATAATACAAACTGGACTGATTATCATCTTACCTGCTTACCAGACCCAAGCTTAAAATGTTCTACTTATGAGTGCTTTAAAATCTTATCACTCTGTAGTTGAAGATCTAGAGAACCGAGAATTTTAACACACGTAGTGATGTATATTAGGTAGAATTTAGATTATATCGATTTAAAAGCTGTGGTGTGTTTTATGTAATGTATTAAGATTTAAATTATGTCTGTTACTGTGAACCTAGAAAAATGTTCTACTGTCTATTTTTTAAGTAAAGCAATACAAGTTTAATTTATTGTATATATTTGAGCCTATCTAATGCTGTATATACTTAAGTATAGCTCGGTATTGTGTATTAATTGACTTCAAACTTTTTTTCCAAGAATCCTTACTCTTTACATATACCTAATGCATAAAATTAGTGTTTGAGTAATTTCTAAAGGTATCATTCCTTCCAAGCAAAGAATATTCAGTCCGAAATTCAAAGGAAAATGGTACCAAATGCAATAAAATTGTTTTTGCTGAAAATAAATATTCATCCTAAATTAGTATTATATGATCTACCTATCTAAAAGATACACTGTGTAATGCTATAATGTTTTATGAAGACCTGCTTAGAAGTTGGTCTTTCTTGAGAACCACAATGTATGAAGGCAAAAACTGCACCTCTGATCCTCTGCATCCTTTGTACCCCTTGTGTGAGTTAATCTCTACTAAATACATTTTCATAACATCTATGAAACACAATAGTTATCTTGCTCCTTTTTTTCAGGACATTTTCAACGTAAGTTGTAAGAACGTCATCAAAACTTTGTTTCTGATTCCAGGGTAAACCTTGTAGTGAAGAACTACCGTCAGTGACAAAATATACTTCAACAGGCATATTGACATCATCAGTGACTAGAATGAGCAAATAATTAGTTAAATGAAATTAATATGTACTCCTCATGAGTCCTTGTTTATCGAACATGGAAACAGGAAAGTTGTATAATTCATGTGTGAGTATTTCATGCAGATCAAGATCTGCTGGAACAACATGCGCAGTTTTGATTGGTTTCATTTGATTGTTCCTTTAGAGCGTAAACTTAGTCATCTCACCCAGTATACTTTTGCTAATATCTAGCCAAATCTGGTTTGGCAGCTTTGTCGGAAATAATAGCACTGACAACATTTCCAAGACAGTCTCATTTGAAAATATCTTGCTTCTCTATAAATTAAAAAATTTCTGTGTGTTTCATCATTTCGTTTAATCCTTGCAGTTGTCATGGCCACATATTGCTCACTCCTTGCATACCAACAAACTAATCCTGCGCTGAGTTATCTATCTGGACCCAATTAGGGCGCAGATAGACAACCCACCATGTCCTTTGACACTTCTCCTCACAACCTATTCACTTATTAATTCTGTCGACAAACCTCCACAAAATCTGTCGCTCCTTCGAACAACATGTAGTCCTCTATTGAATGCATTGTCTACTTAAGGAGCAGAACTTTCGAGTTCAATTGTCATCTGTAAGTATAGTCGTGCAAATATGGCATACAGATTGTAACCTGAGGCGGCAAAAAATGGGAATATATTTTGCTGCTTGGAGGAATGCAGTGAAGGGCACTTGCCCCACCGAAAGACTTGCTCAACACCGAGGACTGTTATTAAACTGGCTAGGAATTTCCTTGCCATTTAGATTAGTTACTATACACTCTTTATGATAAAACATTCGCAACAGGCCGACCGAAAAAGTGGAGACAGAAAAGCTTCCAGCAAACTGAGGTGGTAAGGTACACCAACATGTGCTGAACACGATACACACAACCAAGGAGGAGGTGAAGAAACTGCTGTGCAGACTAGATACTTCGAAGCAGGTGGGCCCAGATACCATCTTCCCACTGATTTTGAGAGAGGAAGCAGAGGCACTGTGTGTGCTAGTGACAACAATCTTCAAGAAATATATGGTAACAGGGCAACTGCCTGAGGTGTGGAAGATGGTAAATGTAGTCCTGTTTTATAAGAAAGGAGACAGGCAACATTAAGCTACAGACCAGTGTAATTGACATTTATAGTATGTATATGTAAAATATGTAAAGTCATGGAGAAGATTATCAGAAGACGAGTGGTGTAGCTCATATATGATACGCAGCATGGTTTCAGAGAAGGGAAATCCTGTGATACAAACCTACTTGAGTTTTATGACAAGTGACAGAAGTGAGAGAAAGAGAGAGAGAGAGAGAGAGAGAGAGAGAGAGAGAGAGAGAGAGAGAGAGAGAGAGAGAGAGAGAGAGAGAGAGAGAGAGAGAGAGAGAGAGAGAGATGGGACGACTGCATATTCTTGGAGTGTAAGAAGGTTTTTGACAAAGTTCCGCACAAGAAATTGGTACAAAAGCTATAGCAGCAGGCAGGAATAAAAGGAAAGACACTGCAATGGATTGTGATTACCTAACAGGAAGGACACAACGAGTGATGTGACGAAGTGTCAAAGTGGGCACCTATGACAAGCGGAGTACCACAAGAGTCAGTCCTAGTACCGGTGCTGTTTCTAGTACTGTATATGTTAATTACATGAAGGAAAGGATAGATCCAGAGGTGTCCCATTTTGCAGACGACGTGAAGCTAATGCTGAGAATTCAAGCGGAGGAGGATCAAGCAAGCCTACAAAAGAACCTGGACAGGCTGCAATCTTGGCCCAACAAATGGCTCCAGTACAAGTACAAAGTCATGAAGCTTGGGGAAGGATAGAAAAGACTACAGATGGAGTACATGCTAGGGTGTTAAAGATCGCAAACCTAACTGAAGGAAAAGGAACTTGGGGCGAGCATCATACCAAATACATCCCCTAAGCCCTACATCAACTAAATAACTGCTGCAGCATATGGGTGCCTGGCAAATATAAGAATAGCGTTTGGACATCTATGTAAGGAGTCATTAACGATACTGTACACCGTGTACGTTAGGACTATATTGGAGTATGCAGCACGACTATGATCAACCACGTCAGGAAACTAGAGACAGTGCAAAGGTTTGCAACAAGACTAGTCCCGGAGCTAAGGGGTATGTCCTTATAGGACATGCCCCTTAATTCTGGGACATGTCCTTAGGACAACACTGAAGGAAAGAAAGGAAAGAGGGAACGTGATAATGTATAAAATACTGTGAGGAATTGACAAGGTGGACAGGGACAGAATGTTTCAGAGACGGGACACCGCAATAAGGGGTCACAATTGGATGTTAAAGACTCAGATAAGTCACAGGGAAGATAGGAAGTATTTCTTCAGTGATAGAGTTGTCAGGAAGTGGAACAGTCTGGAAAGTGAGGTAGAGGAGGCAGGTACCATACATAGCTTTAAGAAGAGGTATGATAAAGTTCATGGGACAGGGAGAGAGAGAGTGGACCTAGTAGCGACCAGTGAAGAGGCGGGGCCAGGAGTTATGACTCGATCCCTGCAACCATAATTAGGTGAGTAAACGAAGGAGCTGCGATTCGACCCCTGCAACCTCATGTAGGCGACTTCTAATACAGTACTGACGCCTCAGCTGGTTATCTATGATTGTATTATGAACCAGAGAATGACAGAAGACATCGTTACTAACTGAAGGCAAAAAGTGAGCCACTTCAGTCCTCTAGCCTGCACAAGAGACTCATTATTATTATTAAACAAAATGAACTATCGAAGTACAAGCTTATTCAGAATGTATCTACCATCTGAATAAGCATTTATTAAATCTTAGATATATTTTATTAACAAAAACAAGCAATAGCAACGTAATACTTAGATAACATACACCTACCATCATTTGACGGAAGTGATATCTCATTGCCAAGCTACTTTCTTCGTTAAAAATGTTTCGCCATAAAAACGAACGTCATAGAGAATAAAATTGTCTGAACTCAGAAATATTGCCTTAACTACAATATTTACAACATTTCGTCTACAGAGTTTTGAGTGACCCAAGACTCTCATTAACAGCTCTCTAAGTACTTGACATGGTAGCGGGTGAATCTTGCAAAACAAACTTCTACAATATAAAGGCAACTCATGAGAAAACTCGTCAGGTCAAGAACTCAAGAGTGCACATGGTTTGCTAGCAACATCAAACAGCATAAAAATGAGCTAAGTATTTTTATTTCCGAAATTTTTCACCCTCGAAGTTGCTTCTTTGAACCTGATGTATACGTGAAGAATATTTCTGTTGGTCACCTCCCCCGCGGCCCGGTCCCAGACCAGCCCTTTCGGTGGATGAAGATCTTATCAACCAGGCTATCCCAGCTGGTCACACGCAGCTGTATGTACAAACTGCAACTCGACTGGTGAGGAATTGATTTGAAGAACTTTTGACGTTCCATCTTGAAGACAGCCATAGGTTTGTTGATAACCTCATTATGCGTGAAGGGAGGACGTTCACAAGTTAGGAACCTCTGACATTCATCGAATTATCTTTTAATGTGCTTGTACGAACCTGCTTTTTTATTGGGGGTATTCTGCACCGTCTGCCAAGTCTTTTTGTGTTCATACGTAGTGATTTCGGAGCGCAGGTATGGGACCAGTCCCTTCAGGATTTTCCTTGTGTAGATAATGATGCTTTATTCTCACCTACGTTCCACGAATATAGCTGAAGAGTCTTCAAACGTCTTCAGTAAATTAAATGCTTGATTGAATGTATACAGGCAGTGAAAGTTATTTTGCACGTTTTCCATCTGCAATTTCGCTTGCCTTGAAGAGAGCCATTAATTAATATACAGCAGTACTCCAGCCTGGAGAGTCTCATCATTAACTCAACATCCTTTATCTTTAAAGCTCTAATTATCCAGCCTATCATTTTCGTTAACGTAACAATAACAAAATAGTCGTATCCTTGAATGTGATAGGGTTTGACATCATCTCACTTAGTCTCACAAATGGAACTTTCGCTCCACTGAATGACTGAAGTTTGTCTTAAATTCCGTTTTAGTCTTTATTTCCTCCATTCTTCCATAGCAGAGCACCTAAAACTAGTCTTAGCTAAGCATTATATTGTTGTAACTGTGTTTTTGAGTGTAGAGGTAACTAAACATGGAGACAGCAGAAGCAGGGAAGATGCATCAGTTGAATAGTCTTGAGGAGGCCAGATTCTCAGCTATGAGAAGTGTTCTGCTTTAAAGTCTGACAGCCAGAACGAAGACGTAAACAAATAAAAGCTACCATTAGTAAAGTTAAAAGCTCAGTACCCCAAGGTATGATCCTGGCGCCTCTACTGTTTCTTATCCTCATAGCAGAAATAGAAAAAGAAATTGCTACAGTTTTGTATCATTATTTGAGGACAATAAAAATGAAAATTACCTCAGTAGAAGACATGGAAAATGGACTTTGGAGACTAATGTGACACTCAGTGGTGTTAAGTTCCAGCTCATCAGATATGGAAAGAATGATGAATTCAAAAGGGACACTACACAAAACCCATAAGAAATACCATATAAATAGAAAGGAGTAATTATGTCAGGTGACCATTTTTTCAATGATATCAATAAGTCAGTTAAAGCTACAGCCAGGAAAATGAAGGGGTGGATAATGAAAACTTTAAAAAACGAGAGAATGGTACCAATGGTGACACTTCGGATTTCCTGCTCTCTGTTGATTGGATTATTATTCACTGCTGACAGCACTGAGCATGGGGAATGTTCAGTGCTGTCAGCACTGAACATTCTGAAGATGCAGAACTTTCTTCCCTTGTTCTGAGTCCCTTAATATGAGGCGAGTCTTGCGAGGAAATGTTTTGATTAGGATGTCCACTTGGGTCGTTGTGAGCCATCGACCTTGTTGTACTGTGTGTTGGTTTTACATGTTTCTCTTTTGGAAATCATCTTTTTCAACAGACTTTTGGACTCCCCATAGGGTTCCCACTTAGTGCTGTACTGGCGAACCTATACATGCAACATCTGGTACCCGAGCGATTTTCCTCCATTATCCCATCTTTGATCACTTGCCTCCATTAAGTTGGCGATATTCTCACCATAATTCCCAGACGCTTCAATGTTCCTGCTCTCCAACACAACCTCAAGCAAGTTGAGCCCTCAGTCCAGTTTACACTAGAAGAAATAGACAACACTCTTCCTTTTCTTAATGTTCTTTTCTAAAAAGTCTATCGAAATCCCACTAACCTGGACGATCTTCTCCACGACTCCAGGTGTAATCATAGGCTTCTTACTTCGTGCCCTTCAAATCTGCAGCAACGAATTCCCTGAGGAAGAATGCTTAATCATCCAACAAGTAGTTTTTAAACTTCACTATCCTCGTCACTTCATCAGTAACTGTAGACACTGGGCATATAGCATCTTCAACTCACCCAGACAAGATACAGCCGAGAGGAGATACATAGTCATCCCCACCAATTCCGTTGCCAGACATGTCTCCAACATCTTTTCCAATATAGCATTCCAGGTATCTACCCCTACGCCCACCACTGTCAAAGACATCACCGGTAAGAGATACCACAAGATTCAATCCTCTGCTGCGGTACACATAATCCCTTGTAAAGATTGCAACAAATTATTCGTGGGCGAGACATTCAGAGACCTGCAAACACGTATTACAGAACAATAATACGCAGGCAGAATGGACGATTTGAGGAATGCCTGCCGAAACTTCCACAACCATTTAATCAACTACAGAGACACTAGGGAAGAAGACAGTGCCGTAGGATCTTGGAATCATCACTTATCCGTACATCTAACAATTTCGTTCAGAACAACCGCTTCTACAACATAGCTGAAATCCTTGCCAGGAAACGTCTTCATCGTTATCCTGCATAACAACATACCTACTTGCCCATCCCAAGCAAGTTCATCTCAGATCCAACCTCCCCAACATTCTCCACCTGACACTCCATCCTATATATACTCATGATCTGTTTGTGACTTGAACACTTCTTTGAATCTCGTGTTGAGCTCCTCACATACTTTTCGGTCGTTTCTTGTGATCTTCCCTCCTTCCTTCCTCTGCCTGGTTACCTGGTCCTTGACTGTTGTTTTCCTCCTGATGTGGTTGTACAACAGCCTCGGGTCAGATCTGGTTTTCGCTGCTGTGTCATTTTCTTAAAGTCGTTGGGCCTCCCTTTTTACCTGTGAGTAATCATTTTTGGCTCTACGAGCCAGTGTGTGTGCATGTGTGTGTGTGTGTGTGTGTGTGTGTGTGTGTGTGTGTGTGTGTGTGTGTGTGTGTGTGTGTGTGTGTGTGTGTGTGTGTACTCACATAATTGTACTCACCTAATTGTGGTTGCAGGGGTCTAGACTCAGCTCCTGGCCTCGCCTCTTCACTGATTGCTACTAGGTCCTCACTCTCTCTGCTCACTGAGCTTTGTCATACCTCGTCTTAAAGCTATGTATGGTTACTGCCTCCACTACATCACTTGCTAGACTATTCCACTCGTCTGAGTTTTCAGCTTCCAATATCCTGTCTCTGTCCACCTTATCTATTCCACGCAGTATTCTGCATGTTGTTATGTCTCCCCTGACCCTCCGGTCCTCCAGTGTTGTCAGGCCGATTTCCCACAACCTTTCTTCGTAGGATATTCCCCTTAGCTCTGGAACTAACCTTGTTGCAAACCTTCGCACTTTATCTAATTTCTTGAAGTGCTTGACCAGGTGTGGGCTCCAAACTGATGCTGCATACTCCAGTATGGTCCTGACGTACACCGTGTACAGTGTCTTGAACGATTCCTTACTAAGGTATCGGAACGCTATTCTCAGATTTGCCAGGCGCACATATGCTTCAGCAGTTATCTGGTTGATGTGTGCTTCCGGAGATGTGCTCGGTGTTATGCTTACCCCAAGATCTTTCTCCTTGAGTGAGGTTTGCAGTCTTTGGCCACCTAGCCTATACTCTGACTGTGGTCTTCTTTGCTTTTCCCCAGTCTTCATGCATTTGGCTGGGTTGAATTCGAGAAGCCAGTTGTTGGACCACGTGTCCAGCCTGCCCAGGTCTCTTTGTAGTCCTGCCTGATCCTCATCTTATTCAATTCTCCTCATTAACTTCACATCATCTACGAACAGGGACACTTCTGAGTCTATCCCTTCCATCATATCATTCGCATATACCAAAAATATGTGAATGACATGATGGAAGGGATAGACTCAGAAGTGTCCCTGTTCACAGATGATGTGAAGTTAATATGTGTGTGTGTGTGTGTGTGTGTGTGTGTGTGTGTGTGTGTGTGTGCACTCACGTCATAAAGGTCACATGATTTAATGACTGAGACAGGAAGCCTTTTGTTAGTCGGGGTGCACTGAGCGTAGAGTAAAATATTAATGTGTTTGACTGCCTTTTGTGATGATGAACGTTTACTGGTAAGTACTGCATCCACGAACTGAAAGAAAAAGTCTGTAGTACTAAATGAACAACTTTGAAGTAAGTGTAGCAGTTAACCCTTTACCGATCTTGGCCGAACTATTAGCGAAGAGGAAAAACTTGATAACAACCAAGTGGCTGTCAAATCATATCAGTGAAAGATAAGAAAACAGCAAGAGGACAGTCTTTGAATGTCACAGATGGAGAGCGGAAACCTTGAAGGACTCGACTTGGCTCAGTCTAGCTTATGTTTCCAGTGAGTAGGTTCATTGACGTGCTTTAGTTCTATAATGGAGAAAAAATTCCTGAATTTGTGTTTGATTCTGTGGAAGTGCATCGCACTGACCCAGTTCACAGTGTCTACTGCATCACCCTCTACCTCTCTTCAACACCATCCATCAGTAATTAAACCCACAGGACCTCAACTCTATTCTAGGCAGAAGTTCGCCCCAGTGCTATCTGGTACTATCTTGCAAGAACAATCTCTGACCATCATAAGAAAGAGATTTAAAACAGGAAAGTCCCCGATGGGTGAAACGCAATTCTGGATGGAGAATCGTAAAGAAAGATCTGTTTCACAGGAAAATAATTGCATGTACGACAACAATCATACCACTAATGACATCTCAAACAGTTTATATTTCACTAACGAACAAGGCATTTTCTTCTTGTTTCCAAAGGATGACTTTGAGTATGTTAGTATAATATTGACAGTAAACAATGGCGAACAATATTTAACGTTTACCAAAGAAATTCTTTGTGTTAACAAGTTAAATCGCTGGTATAAATTTGATTTTAGTACTAAAATAAAAAGTAAATGGCCAGCCAATTTATGGGCCGTTAATATTAAAGGAAACTCTTGTTCTAAATCATTGTCAACAGACTACTGGTACATATTCAACTGGTTCCGCAGCATTAGAGTGTTTGGCAAGGGAAGTTACTGTCTAACAACCAATGAAAGCCTTACCACACCTACTGAGACTTCCACAACAAGTGTCGACGCTTCTACAATCCCTTCAACAATCTCCTCGACTTTTGAAAACAACAGAAACAATACGCCGGAAGCAGGGGGTGATACGAGGCTCTTTGTCACTGTGGTCACCTTCTTCACTGTCTTCAGCGTGATTGTCGTTCTTGTCATTTCTTATCGCAGACGAAGTAAGCAAATTTATTATCATTTTGCAGAATTCACAAATATCCCACACATAGAAGAGAGGAGCTTACGACGACGTTTCGTCGTATGCTCCTCTCTTCTACATGCGGGTTATTTGTGTATCGTTCCAGTCACCGTATTGTGTCTTTTTTTTTTTATTGCAGAATTAGTCTCAATCTTGGATTTTAAAGAAAGTATAAAGTATTCTTAATGCTGTTATTGATAACGTTTATTTCTTTTCTATTTCGTAGGAATTCAAATATTACAAATAATTTAAAAATGTATTAGAAAACATAACGACTTATCATTTCTGTTTAAGCTAATCATGAAAATTTTAAGAAATTATAGGATGAAGTAGAGAATATGTTCAACGACTGACCAGAAAAGTGAAAGAAAAAGGGATGTCAGGAAGTATTTCTTCAATTACAGAGTTGTCAGGAAGTGGAACAGCCTAGAAGGTGACGTAGTGGGGGCAGGAACCGTACACAATTTTAAGATGAGGTTTGATAAACCTCATGGGGTATGGAGATGGAGGGCTTAGTAGCGATCAGTGAAGAGGCGGGGCCAGGAGCTATGTCTCGACCCCTGCACCCACAAATAGGTGAGTACACACACACACACACACACACGCAAACACACACACACACACACACACACACACACACACACACACACACACACACACACACACACACACACATATACACACATAATACATGCAAACACGCTCATAGAGACAGATACTCACACACACATGCACACACACACACACGCATACACACACACACACACACACACACACACACACACACACACACACACACACACACACACACACACACACACACACACACACACACACAATGGGAGGAGGAAAAGGCAAAATTAGTGTTTATCCATGGGCTTCAGGAGATAAAGGAAAAGACACACATTGAAAGATGGCAGGCAGAAAGAAAGGAGATTGAGAACATCATCACAGAAACAGGTGAAGAAGACATGGTCGAAATTGTAGATTTTCAGAGAATAGGGGGGTACTTGAAGTGGAGAAAACGACCGATCAAGCTGATTTTCAGGACTGAAACAGTGCAGAACAGGATCCTCCAAGAGAAAACACGGTTGAAGTACTCGGCAGAGTACAAGAGGGTGTTCCTTGACAGAGACCAAACACAAACAGAACGACAGCAGCTGAGGGAAAGGACAAAAAAGCTAAAGGAGCAAGGGAGACAAGGACGGAATCAACAGAGGTCAATCAGAGCTGGACAGAGCAGCAAGGGCAAGCACACACAAAACCATCACCAGAACCCCACAACCTATCACACCATCCCAACACAAACTACAATCCATACTCACAGCTTCTACCCAACACCCAGCTATAGAATCCCACAGTACACTACCAGGTCTCCCACCCTCACAGGCCCCCCAAACCACAGTGTTGGAGAAGGAACTGAAGATACGGTGCACAAACGCTGATGGAATAGCAAATAAGTGGGAGGAGTGGCACGAAAGAGTAAGAGGCATCACCGGACATCATAGCTCTCACAGAAACCAAGCTTACAGGTATGATAACAGATGCCATCTTTCCAACGGGATACCAGATCCTGAGGGAAAGTCAGAGGGGACAGGGGGGTGGAGGAGTGGCACTGCTGATCAAAAACCGATGGAATTTTGATGAGCTGAAGAGAGGAGACAGCAGAGAAGCGAGCGATTACATAGCGGGAACGCTTCACTCTGGAGGTCCCAAAGTGGTAATTGCAGTGATGTATAACCCACCACAGAACAGCAGGAGGCCAAGGCAAGAGTATAATGAGAGCAATAGAGCGATGGTTGACACACTGGCTGCAGTGGCCAGGGCAGGACAAAGCTCCTGATCATGGGTGGCTTTAATCACAAGGAAATCGATTGGGAAAACTTGGAGCCACATGGGGGCCAAGATACATGAAGGGCTAAGATGATGGAGGTGGTAGTAGAAAACTTCATGTACCAGCACGTAAGGGACACTACAAGAGAGAGAGGAGAGGATGAACCAGCAAGACTGGACCTAGTATTCACCTTGAGTAGTGCAGATGTTGAGGACATCACATATGAAAGACCCCTTGGGGCCAGCGATCATGTGGTTTTAAGCTTCGAATGCACAGTAGAACTACAAGTGGAGGGGAAGCAGGAAGGCCAGAGTGAATGAAGCCAAACTACAAGAAACGGGACTACACGGGAATGAGGAACTTTCTGAACGGGGTTCAGTGGGACAGAGAACTGGCAGGGAAGCCAGTTAATGAGATGATGGAATATGTAATAACAATGTGCAAGGAGGCTGAGGAGAGGTTTGTACCCAAGGGTAACAGGAATAATGAAAAAGCCAGGATGAGCCCATGGTTCACCCAAAGGTGCAGGGAGGCAAAAACCAAGTGTGCTAGAGGGTGAAAGAAGTATAGAAGGCAAAGGACCCAGGAGAATAAGGAGAGCAGTCATAGAGCCAGAAATGAATATGCACAGATAAGAAGGGAGGCCCAACGACATTATGAAAGTGACATAGCAGCGAAAGCCAAATCTGACCTGAAGCTGTTATGCAGCCACATCAGGAGGAAAGCAACAGTCAAGGACCAGGTAATCAGGCTATGGAAGGAAGGAGGAGAGACAACAATAAATGACCATGAAGTATGTGAGGAACTCAACAAGAGATTCAAAGAAGTGTTCACAGAGGAGACAGAAGGAGCTCCAGAAAGACAGAGAGGTGGGGGTACACCACCAAGTGCTGGACACAGTACACACAACCGAGGAAGAAGTGAAGAGGCTTCTGAGTGAGCTAGATACCTCAAAGGCAATGGGGCCAGATAACATCTCTCCATGCGTCCTGAGAGAGGGAGCAAAGGGCTATGTGTACCTCTAACAACAATATTCAATACATCTATCGAAACAGGGAGAATGCCTGAGGCATGGAAGACAGCAAATGTAGTCCCAATCTTTAAAAAAGGAGACAGACATGAAGCACTAAACTACAAACCAGTGTCACTGACATGTATAGTATGCAAAGTCATGGAGAAGATTATCAGGAGAAGAGTGGTGGAACATCTAGAAAGGAATGATCTCATCACCAGCAGACAACATGGTTTCAGGGATGGAAAATCCTGTGTCACAAACCTACTGGAGTTCTATGACATGGTGACAGCAGTAAGACAAGAGAGTGAGGGGTGGGTGGATTGCATTTTCTTGGACTGCAAGGCGTTTGACACAGTTCCACTCAAGAGATTAGTGCAAAAACTGGAGGACCAAGCAGGGATAACAGGGAAGGCACTACATTGGATCAGGGAATACTTGTCAGGAAGACAGCAGTGAGTCATTGTATGTGGCAAGGTGTCAGAGTGGGCGCCTGTGACCAGTGGGGTCCCACAGGGGTCAGTCCTAGGACCAGTGCGGTTTCTGGTATTTGTGAACGATATGACGGAAGGAATAGACTCCGAAGTGTTCCTGTTTGCAGATGATGTGAAGTTGATGAGAAGAATTCATTCGATCGAAGACCAGGTAGAACTACAAAGGGATCTGGACAGGCTGCAGACCTGGTCCAGCAATTGGCTCCTGGAGTTCAACCCCACCAAGTGCAAAGTCATGAAGATTGGGGAAGGGCAAAGAAGACTGCAGACGAAGTACAGTCTAGGGGGCCAGAGACTACAAACCTCACTCAAGGAAAAAGATCTTGGGGTGAGTATAACATCAGGCACATCTCCTGAATCGCACACCAACCAAATGACTGATGCAGCATATGGGCGCCTAGCAAACCTCAGAACAGCATTCCGACATCTTAATAAGGAATCGTTCAGGACCTTGTACACCGTGTACTTTAGGCCCATATTGGAGTATGCGGCACCAGTTTGGAACCCACACATAGCCAAGCACGTAAAGAAACTAGAGAAAGTGCAAAGGTTTGCAACAAGACTAGGGGTATGTCTTACGAGGGAAGGTTAAGGGAAATCAACCTGACGACACTTGAGGACAGGAGAGATAGGGGGGACATGATAACGACTTACAAAATACTAAGAGGAATTGACAAGGTGGACAAAGACAGGATGTTCCAGAGACTGGACACAGCAACAAGGGGACACAGTTGGAAGCTGAAGACACAGATGAATCACAGGGATGTTAGGAAGTATTTCTTCAGCCACAGAGTAGTCAGGAAGTGGAATAGTTTGGGAAGAGATGTAGTGGAGGCAGGATCCATACATAGCTTTAAGCAGAGGTACGATAAAGCTCATGGTTCAGGGAGAGTGACGTAGTGGCGACCAGTGAAGAGGCGGGGCGAGGAGCTTGGACTCGACCCCTGCAACCTCAACTAGGTGAGTACAACTAGGTGAGTACACACACACACACACACACACACACACACACACACACACCACACACACACACACACACACACACCGCAACACTGATAGCTGATGGTCTTAAACCATGCTCTGGACAGCTGAATATCATAGAACACTCAACAGGAAAAACACCCATATTGTAAGCAAGTTTATTTAGGCATACACAGGTACTGTGCATGGAGTGCCATAAATAGCAGCATAGTTGGAGAGAATCTAGTGTAGAGAAACTGGAGAGAGCCCAACAAGCCAGACAGCAATTTATTTTACTGCTAAATTAAGGTAGAATCCAGGAAAAAAGGCTCGGGTGATGAGGTAGTAACGTACACACACATGTACATGCGCACACATGTGAACCAAAGAGGGTCATAAATTTTCACATACAAACACTTGTAGTCCTTACCCTAACGGATACCTCTATGTAGACAACCTGTATTGTCTGCACAGACAGCCTATCCTGTCTGCCAGCTTAGTTCATATTTCGCACCACTCAGGTGCTGCCCTCTGGGCCTGCTCCAGGTCTGTGGGATGCTGGGCCCACACGCTCTCACTCTCTCAGCGGCCTGGCAGCAAGACAGAAGGCCTACTAGCTCTCTCCCTCATGAGCATGGCCTTCCCGGCCATGGGCACAACACACAAGCCTGTGTATCCAC